TATAAAACGCCGTTTTTACCGTTTCTTCCCGCAGTAAATATAAACAACGATAGTATTCAGGAAGAAAACCAAACATTGCAGATATTTTTTTATCATAACTCTGGTTTTACGTGGCCTATCAACACAATTTAAAAACTGGCATAAAGTCCACACTTTTCCGTCAATTGTTCCTTCTGTCCTGCTCACATCTCCAGTGGTTGTACATGCTGTTTTTTTTTGTATTTGCCTCTCTGGATTTGTGTAGACTTCTGACCTTTGACTCCCAAACAACTTAAAATAAATGTACACCGAGCACTGCTGGGAGTGACTCCTCCTGATATCAGGACATGTTTGGGATGGTTTCTGCCTCAGTCCTAGCAGTGGGATCTTTTTAAAGCATTTCCAACCTCCTGCAGTAATTTTATTACATAGGGTATAAAATAAATATGACCCCTGTGTTTGATTTCCAGCTTCAGCTCTAATATGAAGTGATAAAGCACACAGATGTGGGCAGCAGTGAACCTGCAGATGTATTAACAGGAAGCCACACACAGATAATGGCTGCTCGAAGATATTTGAAATCTGGTTCCTGTCCCGACTCGCCTCTGAGGAATTCACCCCATCGCCTCCCAGCTGAGGATTAAAGGGCTATTCCACTAAAAGTTTAAAGGAAAGGAGAACGTGGTGTAGGTGACGTCATGTTAATGAAGTGAGAGAGTCATGTCACCATGGCGACCGAGAGACGGGAGCATTAAAAGAAAAAGGGGGTGTTTTAATCCAAACTGTAATGTTTCTAGAAACGTACTAAAGTTGTTTTTTTTATTATACTTAATAATTCATTTAACTCAAAGCTATTAAAATTAATATAAATTGCATGTAATTATCTTTCTGAGTGATTATTTGCTCTGAGTTTTATACCCTCTAAACACAGAGAATAATATTTTTGTGTGCATGTACACAAATTAGTACATATGTGACTGAACAGAAGAAAAACTTGGAGGAAATTAATATGAGTCCACAAACACCAATCAGAACATTACAGGCCATGATCATTTCAGTGTGTAACTGAGGGGTGCGATTGCCCTGTCCCACTGAAAACGAACAAAATGACTACATAAACATGACATGGAAGAACTCATTTTTGAAAACTGTGCAGATCTCAAAGTCCAGATCAAAATGATACACATACCCAGTTCTACTTTTTAAAATGTCTGGATTTAAAGACGAATCTCTGTAGGACCCATGAACCCATCTTTATCCTGCCTGAACAGGTTATGACATGATCTCTGGTGCTTCTGTGGGTCAACTTATCTCCTCTCTGAAAGGGTTTGACAAACTTTACTTTCACACTATGAACATCTTCTGAGTTACAGGCCCTCAGAGGGCAGAAGAGTGCATTGAAATTTGGTGTTTAATCCCTCATAGCTTCATGAGTACTGTTACATCCCCCAGGAGGATGTCTCTTCTCCCTATTAACCCTTTGTTTTGTCCAGGCTCCACCTCCTCTGTCCTGATTGGATGTTGCACAGAGTCCGGCTAATTGGTAATCAGCAGAGCACTACTTAAGGCCCGTGGAGCTGTGCTTCTGTGCCCTCTGGCCATTTTGGTTGCCATACTTGTGCAGGCTTGCATGCCTTTGTATTTTGTGTGAGCATTGTTGTTTCATGTTCAGACTGCTTGTAGGGGAGAGCTGCCTTTTGTTTTGACACCCTGTTTTCTCCTGTTTATGTGTTGTTAGGTAGGTTATGGTTATAGGTTGTATATTTTGTTTCTTTGGAGTTAGGTAAGTTTCTTTTATTTCTACGTCAGGGATGTTTTGTTTGTTATGTTGGCCTTGGCTCTCCCTGACGTTACACCTCGGTCTGAACCCCATCACCAGTATTAAATAAACCTTTTAGAATTACCATCTTGGCTCCTCCTTTTCCATCCACATTTATGTTCGTCCCTTCAACCCCCTAGACTAGCCAGGGGACGTAACAAGTACCGAGACATCAACATGATGGTGATCCACATTAAAAACAACATGTAAGCTGTGTTGGAAACTGCAACCGAATCCATTTCACACCAACTCCAAGTGTCACAATCTGAAGCCAACATCTCGTTTCTTTGTCAATAACCAACTCTGAGCATCACAGGACATCATAGTTTAGATCAACTGCAGGAGTCTAACATCAGATTAACAGAAACAAACACCGATGCTCTGGATGTTTGATCTGATTCTGACTCACTGGACAAAAATCACCTCCTTTCTCCCACACTGTTAAAGCTATAACTGCATTAACATGACTGGAAAGAGGTTCTGTTGATCCCGCAAGTTAGAATATGCGAATTATTATTATTATGCCTTTATTCTGAATATTTTTAAAATAAAACAACAAAAAAGACAAAACCACAAACAAAAAAAAACATTCATAATTACAATAAATAACCTCACATGTTTAAAAAAGAACTAGAAAGAAGTGCCTAATCACA